AGGCCTGGAGGGTGGAGAGGGTTTGAATCTCCACGGGGAGTTCGTTCCAGAGGGTCGGAGCAGCCACAGAGAAGACCCTCCTCCGGGTGGTCACCAGTCGACACTGGCCGGCGGATGGAATTCGGAGGAGGCCTAATCTGTGGGATCTAATTGGTCTATTGGAGGTAATTGGCAGTAGGCGGTCTCTCAAGTACCCAGGTCCAATACCACGAAGGGCTTCTGACACAAGTTTTGCTATGTGGGTGATTTGAGTGGCATTGGAGGTGACTAACACATGGATTGGAATCTTCTGAGCTACTACTAGTTAATTTCAGTTACTGTGGACATAACCCGCTTCTTTTATGGCTACTGGCTCCTCTTGTATGTTTAGATTTGGGCTAGTGAACTTATGTACCAGCAGGAAAAGCACCTGTACTATCTTTTGAAAAAGTAAAAGACCAGGACGTAATTAAATCACCTACCTGTCAAAGAGGGCCTGATCTACCACACAGAGCGCTTGATGCTGCTTTAGTGACTGGAGAAATGTTGAGAATCAGAACATCTAAAGCAGTGGTGGCTTCTTTCTCTCTTCTTGGCTGGCATCTTTAAGATGTATAAATTTTAATTCATAGTGCTGGCTGGAGAATCCCGGGCGTTGAAGTCTACACATCTTAAATTTGCAAAGTTGGGCCCATTAGGGAGACATTCTGTATACAAAGTGGTAGAGCAGAGTGACTCTAAATGAGCATTTCTTGCACTAGTGTTAAACTGGCGGCCTGTGGGCCGGATATGTCACCCGCAGGCCACACCCACCCCAGCTCCGCCAACAGGAAAGACATCGCAAAATGTCAACGTGACGTGGCACATTTCACACCTGTGTCTTAAAGAATCAGTTGGAAGCTTTTTCCGAATACAAGTCTAACAAGCACAGTACGTCCTTCCCCATCTAGCCTAAGTTTTAGTAATGGTTTGGTGCGGTGGTGGGTTTCATAAAATTGTTGGAACCTCTTCTGTAGGTGTGGCCTGCTTTGCGGGTCCACTGGTGGAACCTCTTCTAACCGGTCCGGTAGATTTGACGAACCGGTTCTACCGAATAGATGCGAACTGGTAGGAACCCACCTCTGGTTTGGTGGATGTTTATCCCACTAGCAAGAAAACCCACCAATCATCGTACCACAAATTACCCTGCTATAAAACGTAAGGACAGAGTAAAGTCTCGCTCTCTGGACTGTGAATTGTGCTAGAGTGTTTTTGTGCTGCCTCACAAACTGAAGGAGAGCAGAACTTTCTGGATACGCGCCAAGAAAAATCCTGTTGAACTTTGTGCAGGTTTTATTGCCTGTGTAAAATTGCCCTTTGAGAGTTTCATCCTGTAGGCATTTATTGGGAGTCCACCCTATTGATTTTAGTCTTTAAATAGGCACCGATAACAAACTTCTATTAATAGCCCAGCATGTCTGAAATTTCTAGCCCTGTATTATTCGTGGAGCCCTTTCTGAGGAGTGAAATGTTTAATTCAAAGTTTCATGTTCAATGGTGATTACTCCCAAGTAAATGTTTAGAAATAGCAGGCAAGGGGTCATATTTCTTAAGGAAATACATAAGAAAGAGCATGCCCTTTTTTTCACCGACTGCTTCACCATCTAAAAGCCTGCATTTTCGTTTGTAGCATTTTGATCAGTTTGGTCAATTTGTACAGAAAGGTGACTTATTATTTTAATAATTTACCTTTTTTAATAACCCGCTTTGATAGTTTTCTTTCACAGAATGGGCAGCACACAGCTACATATTAGTGGTGTGTTTAAAAATAAAGTAAACCACACATGCCCTAAGCTTACCTCAGATCACCCTCTGCTGGTTGCACTTGCAAAAATGCATATGTATCAAAACTCTATCATACACATATAATCTATTCCAGTGGTTCCCAAAGTGGGTGGTACTGCCCCCTGGGGGGGGGTGGGATGACTTAGGGAGTGCTAAGAGGCAAGGGGGTAGCAGGGAAGCGCTAAGAGGCAAGGGGGCAGCAGGGGGGGCGCTAAGAGGCAAGGGGGGTGGCAGAGGAGTGCTGGAGGTGTTCTGCTGTACTGTACTCCCGACTCGCCTAGCTTAGCACTCAGGCGTGGAAGAATGTCTTGCTCAGTGGTGAACTCAAAGAGATCAGGCAGGACATTGCTTATTTATCAGAACTATTTGCAAAGTTCAATGAAGTCAATTTGCTGTTGCAAGGAAATTAGTTCAATTCTTATTAAGGCCAAATCTGTCATCTCTACGTTTATTTCAAAGTTAACTCTATTCAAGAGCAATATAGGCCGTCGTGAGCTATACCAATTTCCGAGCTTCTCTGAGCTGGGATACAAGATGATGATCTTCCAGTTTTTTATGACCATTTGGACATGCTGCATAAAGATATGTCTGAGCGATATCAGGATCTTCTTTTGATGGAAATTCCAGATTGGGTGATAAATCCATTTTCAGATACTGAGGANTGAAGTAATGAAAAAGAGCAATTTAAGTCAGTTTACTTGCCTCCTTAGGAGCTTCTTTTTCAATGAAGTCACTGTAAATCTTCTTAGCTTTAGCTGTCAGTTTATGTGGGGACTTGATTTTCTTGTAATCCTCACAGGCCAGCCAGAAGTCAATGTTTTCTTCACAAAACTCGGATTTCAGGAAAGCTCTGAAAGCTGCCAGACCATCTACAAAGAAATGTGAAAAAAAGATCAATCCATGCAAAGCATCCCAGGAATGTTGTAGATGTAACACACATTTTTTTTCCTTGGATTTTTCTGTCTATCCCTCTTCTAAATTGTTTAAGAAAGATGTACCAGAACAAGTCAGAAAGAACATGAGTAAGCTGAAGTAGCTGGCCAATTTTTACAAGTTAAAATTTAAACAATTGTGTTCCTTTGTTCGCATTTCTCTTTTGGACTTTGATAGCATGTGTTAACCTTTAAAGTGGAGAACATGTTTATGGAAGAGCTATAAACTCTTGGAAGACAGCCACAATGGAAAGTCCACTAGGCAGCAAATAGGATGCAATTAAAAAGTTTAACAGACTTCTTTTGCGTAGCTGACAAGCTAAACAGAGCTTCTGTCTCTTTAATCAAAGCGTGCATCACGGTTGTTTAAAAAGAACTACTGTGCAATGTGTTTTTATTTAAAATAACTGTTGAAAAAAAAAATCAGCCCTGGAATCTGATGCCGTATCAAGTAGCTAGGATCCATTTAAAGAGAAGAATGAGACCTTAAGGATTCTGAGACTTAAAATTTCAATTAGGGACCCTTTCATTTCCAACTCTATAACTACTGATGGGAGTTTTTAAACCTATGTATGTTAACTGCAAGGCCAACTAAAAATGCAGAACACAATTGCAGAAATACAAAACATTGGCGGCTACTTCACAGAAAGCATCTGGGAATTTTGCCAAAGGAAGGGGGGGGGCTTTTTCTTGCAATCTGGTGCCCAAGGAGTTAAAGACTAAACTAGGAATAAGTATTATTACCCAATGCAAACATACATGAGAATTCTCACTAACTAAGATTCTGGTTCATTCCCTGCTGGATCACTTTTCCTGAAAACTAGCTTTCTAAAAGTGGCAAACATACTTGTCTGTTAATTTTTTTTAGGGCAACTTACATCTGCTAGCTAGAAGTTCATCAAATGTTTCTGACCACAGCTGAGCTTCTTCAGGAGAAGGCCTGTGAAAAAAGACAAAATCGTTTTAAGGTTTTTGAATGGGCATGGATTCTATAAATAATTTTACTACATAAAAATTCATCAATGTGAAATATGAAGTACATACCTAAAACATGTCTTCTGTTGTCCTTTCTTGTTCGCCTTTGCACTGGTAGAATTGGAGGAATTCTGCAGAAAGTAATTCAATCTTGCTTTCCAATCTTTTAGGCTAAAATTAAGGGGGGGAAATATAAATAAGTTCAAATGTCCTTTTACCAAAAGTGCCATATAGTTTAAATATGTAGCCAATAACTGTAGATGGAATTCAGCTTGCATTAACATTAGCAGAGCTTGGTTATAGCATTGGTTTCCCAGATCGATTTGGAAATTTACTAACTACAGCTAGTAATAACTAATGCACATCTTCATTCCCCCAGACATGAATTATGTGAACTAAGTTATTAACCATATTTAAGAAATATTATACAGCAATGCTATGAGTTTCTTGATGCTCACTAGCCCCATTCATTTGCAAGAAAATTCTTACACATTATTTGTGGCAGTGAACCAACAATAACTGTTCCAGAATAGAGATTCAGTAGTCAATAGTATGTTCTAAGGTTTATTGCAATATATTCAGAGCCGAAATTTTGCTATAAACTATTAGAAAAGCAAGATATGAAATCCCATTCATTTTTGTTGTTGCAAGTTTTATATTCTGAACCTTATCCTTAACTTCCAAAGTAAAAGTGTTTGCATGCTGCAGGCTGCCTAATATAGGATTAGTTTTAGATCAGTCATAATTATCACATTCTGCAGAAACAAATTATTTTTTCTCGGCTCCTTTGCAGACAATTTTAACTCTTTGCAGAGATTAGTAGTGAATCAAAATCACTCATCTGCAGGACTTTAATAGTTCATGTAAACAGCAAAAACCAAGGAAGAGTTCATCTCACAAGCAGCTCTCCCCACCTTCCAGTCTTAATGGAAAAAATCTACCTTATTTACTTAAGAGCTGGGCTAGTGGCCAAACTGTATGACTCAATGCAATTTTAAAAAGAGGAAATTTAAAAAGCCAAATTGCCTCCAAAGAATTGTAGCCCTTTAAGCGAATTAGAATACTGGCAGAGCAGAAATTAGAAGGAGGACTTCCTTCATTTCATTCTTTTTAAATGCTTCCAAAGCAACTGGATGCACCTTCATGCACTCTTATTTTCCTTCTGTTCCACAGCATGGAAGCACAAGAGGAAACGCTTGTCAGCCTCCGTTGTTTTAATGCATCATGCAGGCAACACCTATGCATACAAACTTGAGATGCGGAAGGTGTCGAAAGCCAAAAATTAATTTATTGAGATTAGTCATTTGGGGTACATCAGGCGCATTTCCTGCACTTGAAATATCGATGCAATAAACCAGCTGCTTGGCTGATGGTTCCACCTATTGCGCAAAGGCGAAGAGCCCGAGATCCCATAATGCAAGCAAGCCATAAAGAAACCAAGGTTGACGTTCTCTTGCTGTACGAGGATTCATAAGCGGTCTCAGCATTGTCTCCCTCTTCCTTTACTTCCCAACTTTAGAAATGCGCTCATTCCAGCACTGCAGCGCCGGGGAAAGCTCTCGAACCAGCAAAAGCCCTTCATTTAAAACCTGCTTCCAAATTGGCCGGAAGGGGAAAAAACAAAGTTTATCTCCCCGAGGCTTTTCCCAAACTAACAAAGCAATTCCTCTTTAACTATGGCAAAGACTGTTCATTTCAACTCTACTCTATCCAAGCCAATGGTCTCTGGNTGAAGTAGTTACTAAATTTTACTGAGTTTACTAAGTTATTAAGTCACTAAGGTTCTTGATAAATGACTATCAGACTTTGAAAACCTGGTATCCACTGGATCATGTTCAACAATTTTGTTGAATTAAGGTTTTTAAATTGGATTTTGAATAAATGTGCAATTAATTGTTACAGTTTTGAATTTTACTGTTACTATCTTCCTTCCGTCGTACAAACAGCCCAGTCACATGACTCCCCCCCCAACCACGCCCACCAAGCCATGCCCACAGAAGCGGTAGAAAAAAAATTGAATTCCCCCACTGTGTGGGGGGCACTGAGGATCAGTTTGTAGCACCAAGGGGGGTGGTGGACTGGAAAAGTTTGGGAACCACTGATCTATTCCTTAATTTTTTTTTTAAAACTGGTCCAATGGTTGTTTCTTTTTCATGGTGGACAATTTACCTGTTGTGTTAAGCACATCAACAGATCTATCTCAAGAGTTTTTTCTTGGAATTGGGGATTGCAATAAGGTAATATGTATAAAATAGATAAAGGCTTTATGTAAAGTTCAACACATGCCTGGATCTGATAAGCAGATAAGGAACTGTTTGGGCATATTAAGCCATTCGTTTTATCTAGATCAATGTTGCTTTTGTATACTACACAAACATGGAGCTCTCCAGATACATTGGAGTGCAACTGTAGAACCCAGCTTGAATTGTTTATGATGGTGGGAGTTTTTGGAATAGGCTCTATTCAGAGCTCTGGGTTCGAGAAGACTGAGCTGTACTAACGGAAAAGATCTCCAGGATTTCAAATTATGGCTAATCCCAGGACTCTTGGGAGAAGCTATCCCTTGATATTGCTTGTATGAGCTCAATGGCAGTATCAGTTCAGTAGCACAATTAGAGCTTCCGCCAAACATTTTTTCCATGGCTTGGAACATGTTCATAGCAGATAAATGAACCATCAGTAGAAGCACAGGGTCTCAAAGTTAAATTACCTTGATAATGCTTTTGTTGACCCAGTTGAGATGATAGAAGTGAACCTCAGGATCCTGTGAGACTTTAACCCATTTCGTCTAGATTTTTCAGCCCTCATCATCTGGAATACAGACTAACATATAACTGCCAGAAAACGCCTTGATTCTTTTCTTCCAATCAACTTAAAAAAATAGATTTTGCCTGCCACGATTTTGGATCCACCCAGGGACAGCTCAAAGCGTATTGTTATCTGGAATGAAATACATTCCAGGAGTGTGATCTAGCCAACATAACTGCTGGTTCGTTCGTGGGCGTGCTTTGAATGCGCGTGCATGCACAGTTTAATAGAGATTGTTCTGCACATGCACAGAACTCAAAAGCTATGGTGGCGACTGGGGGAAGCGGTTCGGAGGTGTGGCCAGCCTGGGTTGCTACTGGTTCTGCGACCCAGGTCAGTATGCCACTACTGGTTTGGCTGAACTGGGCTGAACCGGTAGGAACCCACCACTGATGAAGACATGAAGATGACCACCATCATCTGAATTCCATTGGACTAGAATCTATTCTTCTACACTGGGAACAGGAGTAGGCTTTCTCCTTGTGACTGACTAGCATATGCTGCAGATCAGCCGATGAAACAAAAACTTGAGGGATAATTGACTCTAGCATGTGACCCCCATCACACAGGTAGATGAGTGGTCAAGCAGAAGAAAGACTTTATTAAATTGTCCTGTTGGAAATGGATCACAGACACTTTGGGTCAGGCGTGTCCAATCTGCAGCCCATGGATCGCATATGGCCATCAACTAATATTGCGATTCCACAAGATAATAAAACATAAATATATATTATATATATTAACTATGTTGTGTATTTTATATGCAGCCCAAGACAATTCCTCTTAATTCAATGGGACCTAGACCAGTGTTTTTCAACCTTGGCAACTTGAAGATGTCCGGACTTCAACTCCCAGAATTCCCCAGCCAGCGAATGCTGGNGCGAGCAGCTGGAGCATCGCACAGGCGCTAAGACGCATGCGTGAACTGCGCGCGTGCACAAGGACGCCGCTGGCCCCGTTCCATCCGAACCGGTTGGAACGGGATTAGCAACCCACCCCTGATTATACCTCACCTGAGACCATGGTTTCTGTCTTGACCAGCAATGGCATTTGAGACTTATTGTCCCGAAGCATTGTGTTCTAAGATCAGGCCCTATCCATTGATCCAAAAATTATAGAAAATATCCATAGAGAGCCAAGAAAATAGTAATGATTAATTTTAAACAACAAACTTGTCTTTTCACAAGATGAAGGGTTTTTACAAATTCAAAATGGCCGGCTGATTTTTCATCATTTTCTCTGTTTAACACTTTGAATCTCTGGGATGTACGCCTTGGTCACTTTCCATGCCATGTCAACTTTTATCATTAGATCATCTCTATGGTTCTGGAACCAATTACAGTAGAACTTTTCTACTGCGCTATTTTTTCATTAAGGTCCAAATTTCTAAAATTAGGTTCGAGTCACGACCAAATCACTTTGCGACCAGTTATGGAACAAATTGTGGTTGTGACCAGAGGTTCTACTGTATCTTGTTCCAAAGCCTCCTTATGCCTCAATACAAAAATACAAAGGAAAAAGGGGTAAATTTTATAATTCCTTGAACTGAAAGCAAACAATACAGTCTAATAATTTTTGTATCATAGATATATGAAAATGCAGTTTTATGTTAAATTTTAGAAGGCTGACCTTATCATTTCTGTTACACCGAGAATTGATATGCACCAGTTTTTGTTATGCTGTACATTCACATTTTAAGAAATTAGCCATGGTGAATTCCATTGTTTTACCATTTGGAAACTTCTGGAATATGCATCTTGACAATGCAAAATCTAATGTAATTTCTGCAAAATTATACATTTAATTAACTATTAAAGCAAATGAAAAGCTCAGCTCCATGGATTCAAATGGCACAATGGAGGCAAAATTAAGTGCAGAAATTCCCTTCGTTCTTCAGCCATGATTTTAAATCTATGGATTGGAATGTAACTAGTCTTCAGCACCTGTCACCTATGAATGCTACAGACAGAAGGAAATAAATGAAGAGTTAACTCTTGCTCTGCCTGTTTTTTTGTCTAGATACTGCTGGTTTTAGGTCATTTTCTTCTGCCTTTGTTTCAAGCACGCATACATAGAGCCCATGTTGTCCAACTGTTCCCGGTAATATGTAACTAGCTTATTACCAGGCCTTGCCTATATTTGATTTATTTCCTTTCATTTATAGTTATAAAACCTTCACAAATCATCACTAGGGTCAATTTTCTGCTCCCAGGAATGCTCTCACACACAGAGACTATTTCACTTTCAATAAAAGTGAAATGAATGTGCAAAGAGATTTCAAGAGAAAAAGGATAATTACCTTAAGCAACTAAAGGAAAGCTTGGGGAGGAAAGGAACAGAATGAAATGGAATAAAATTAGAATAGAAATGGAATGAAGGATTCAGCTTGTAAGAAAGCTGGAAGGGAAAAAAAATTCTCCCTCTAGTCATTCAAGGTGAGAATGTTAAGGAATCATCTTTGTATTGGACGAGGAGAGACCCATACAAGCGAGGGAGGATCAAATAACCTGAAAATGATAACGCAGGTAGTGATTAATTGTAAATAAGGAGACAATTAAGCAGACAAACAACTAGAAAACAACATCATAATCAGAATTATCAAGGAAGAAACTACACCTCCACCAACACTGGCAGGACAAGCTACTATATATAAACTGAGCCCACACTCACTTGCACTGATTTACCTAATCATGTCTGCAAGCAAACAATTTCAGAGAGGACCAAGGACTCCACAGTTAAACCTGAGCTACATAGGTTTTCTTCCATTGATACAGCAGGAAATGCTTGTCTTAATTTCAAACTTATTAGATGAATGCAATAGAATGGAGTAGATTTTCATCTCAACTGTGAGAAACAGTAAGAAGCTTCTTGGATGAGAAACAAAACATTTTTAAAGGAAAAACAAAGTCCGGTTGACTTTTGGAAAAAGTACCTTTGGTACAACCATGACCTGGATGACCGAGAATCTCCATAGATCTGTAGAATGCGAATGGTATACAATTTAGGACAATCACTGTTATGTGACTGAGAGCAGAGAGTTCCTTATGAGAGGCAATTTCCAGAGAAATAAGATTAGACTGCATGGATGATAAAACAAGACTCTGATCACAAACATTGCATAAATGCATGGCCCAGGAAGATGGAGTATAGGAAGCACAATTACTATGTGTAACTTGGAATGTTCAAGCAAAAGACTAAAGTTAACAATCTTGTGCAAGTTGTATAAAAGTAAAAAATAAGTGTTAAGCCAATAAACATGACGGGGGTGGGGGGAAGAGACGAAGGAGTCATTACAACTAGTGCCTAGCAGCATTTGTAGGCCAATTCATGCCAGTAAATGTTTGGAAATGTTTATTCCATTTGTATGCCGCCCTATTCCGGAGGGACTCAGGGCGGCTAACAAACAAAGGGGGGGGGGGGAATACAGACAACAAAACAAAAAGACAAAACAAGTTAAGAACAAAGCAACAGTCGCAACAATTCAAGTGTGGCTGGGAACTCATCAGCCCCAGGCCTGCCGGAACAGCCAGGTCTTAATGGCTTTGCGGAAAGCCTGAAGGGTGGTGAGGGTCCGGATCTCCATGNCCCAATTGGGCTTATTATCTGGGGAGGGTTTATTTTCAGGGAAACAGCGTACTTAAACATTTTTTCTGTAATTTTAACCTGAATAGTGAAGATTGGCAAATGTCTGGATCAGGATCTATTTCGGGAACAGCTTCAGAATCTGAAATAGAAGGAAGCAGAGAAAAAAGTAGTTGTGAAGAGAGTGAATCTGATTATGAACCAAAAAATAAAGTCAAAAGCAGGAAGCCTCCAAGCAGGTAGGTAATACCACTTTAGAAAATAAAAGTTAATATGCATATCTTTCCTTTAAAAAATCTTTTGAGGTACAAATTTGATAAATTGCCTTGTAAATATTCATTCAGTAAATTATCTCTCCATGTGTTAGGAAACTGAATTTTGAATAGAAACATTTAATTGATGGCCTTAGATCAGCAAAGCTGTAATATCACATGAAAATCTCAGTTTTCAGAAGAACTAAAGTACAATTTTGGGTTGATAACAACTTGAACCGAACATGTGCTCTAATAGAAATGAGTGAATATTGCCACAAGTCCTCACTGAGTTTGATATGAACTGCTTTAGTCAAATTGCCAACTGGTTACCTCAAATGGATATCTCAAAGATTTTATGGATAGTTTAATCTGTGTTAGAGGGAATTAACTTTTGTGCTCATTGCTAAATCAGAAGACCATGAGTTGTTACTTCATCCTACTCATCTGTCATAAAAGGAGACACAAGTCTCCTTGTGTTCCCTTAGTTTTCATAACCTAGTAATGCTAAGAATCTAGGCTTTTGCTTAATGAACTTTTGGGCATGGAATTCTGATAATTTTCTAGGTGCTACCACTGAGTAGCCAGCCAAATTGCTTATATGACATTTTCATAATTGAATTTGCTTTTGTACATCATAGTGCATTTTTTTTAAAGTCAGGATAATTTTTTTGGTTCCAAATGATAGTTGATATATTAATCTAACATTCCAGGAAGCACATGGAACATCATAGTTGAGATTCCAGCTGCTTTTTTTCATAATAGGATCACTTTGATAGGTAGGTTGTCCATTATTCAGCATTCAAACTACATTCCTCATTTATTTCAGTAGTGTACTATGTCCTGTTCCATATGCAAAAGAACGGACTGAAATTATTGTACAAGAATAAAAAATTTTAATGAGCAGATACTAAAGCAGTGAAGTTGCTTTGTTTTAATACTTTACAGTTTTCAATCTTTCATTCAAGAAGTTTACAAAAAATCTTAGTATTTGAATAGCCCACAGTTTTCTAAGTATACTCATCAATCATTTTTTCCAGGCATTGATACAATAATGTTTTGAAAGACTTATTTTTCTATTATTTATTATTTAAGAATAAAACAAAAAAGTGGAAAGAAAACTGCAGTGCAGAAAAAACGACAACTTGACTCATCCTCATCCTCAGATGATGATGATTATGATAAAAGAGGTTCTCGCCGCCAGGCAACAGTAAATGTTAGTTATAAAGAAGCTGAAGAAGCAAAGACGGATTCAGATGATCTCCTAGAAGTTTGTGGAGAGGATGTTCCACAGCCTGAAGAAGATGAATTTGAAACAATTGAAAAATTTATGGATAGTCGCATTGGAAGAAAAGGAGGTAATCTTTAATTTACATTAGAAAAATATATTCATAATTGCTATAGTTTTGTTTTTGTTGCAGTGTACATTGAATAGCTATAGGCTAACGGGGCTATATGGCTTGAGGTATCTTAAAATATCATTAAATATTCTATGTAAAATAACAGAAATATGTTCATATAAAAGATTCTGATGGTTTACTAATTTTATCGATAAAAGGACTTACTCTCTTAAGTTCACTTAGACATTATTTGTATACTATATGGTATACAGGTAGTCCTCAATTTTCAACTATTTGTTTAGTGGTCTTCAAAGTTACAATGGCACTAAAAAAAAACTTATTGTTTTCACACTTACGATTAAGGGTCATACGATCAAATTTGGATGCTTGGCAACTGGCAAGTATTTATGACAGTTACAGTGTCCCAGGGTCATTTGATCACCTTCCTGACAAGCAAAGTCAAAATCTTTGTTTTTACCTTTCCACTCTTGGGAGAGGACAGGGAGGATGAAAAAAACAACCAGGCTAGGTACAGATTACTTGCTTCTCCTCCACCCCCTTGTTTAAGCATTTTCTCCTCTCTCCAAGGGAGGAAAAGAAGAACCCAAATGATTTCTAAGAAATCTCTCCTGGTTTGTTCTGTACTAGCTGAAGTCGCCGGATGCTCTTCAAGGGCAGCCCCATGTAGAGCACATTGCAGTATTCCAGCNAATTTTGTTGAATTAACATTAACTAAAAAGGTTTTTAAATTGGATTTTGAATAAATGTGCAATTGTTACAGTTTTGAATTTTACTGTGACTATCTTCCTTCTGTCGTGCAAACTGCCCAGTCACGTACCCCCCCAGCCACACCCACCAAGCCACTCCCACAGAACCGGTAGTAACAAAAATTGAATTCCACCACTGGGTGGGGGGGCAGTGAGGATCAGTTTGTAGCACCAAGGGGGCGGTAGACTGAAAAAGTTTGGGAACCACTAAGTTAGAGCAGTCCCTTCCACCTCTTGATTTTAAATCTAGGAAGTGTAGATTTTTCTTACTGTCATATTTAAGAAATGTTGAGAAATACTTGATGCATAAGGCAATATGGAGGAGCTCTGCCTCTCTCAGTTTGAAGGCCCTTAGTATAAGAAATACATTTTAAATTATACCAAAGCTGTTTTATTTATGACATATAATAGTAGAATAGTAATAGTAGAAACCATTATAAATGCAGGAATGAACAGGTTCAAATTCAGGACAAATGCTGTCTTTTTGGTTTTATTTTTTAAAAATCTACTTTATCTTTAATTTATCATTAAAGTAAGGGAAAGAGCTTGAAAAGAAACTTTTTTCAATTTTATTTTTTTATATTTTCTTTTTTCCTTTTTCCTCATCCATAATCGCAAAAATATAAATTAACAACCTCTTAACAGTATGCATTATGTAAATGCCACTTTTCCCTAGACTTAACATTGTTAATATGGCAGTTATCAATGTAAACAATTAATTAATGTTTATATTAATGATTATAAGTTATTCATGATTAAATATTGTCATGTGAAAATTTGTTCAGTTATATGAAGCTGAAATACCCACAAAGCTATTTTAATTGTTCATTTCAGTTTAATAAATTCAAAAGAAAGATTTTGTTATTTAAAACTTTTTGCATACTTTCCCTGTACATCTTTTATTTTCTGCTAGGTTCATTATTTCTACAAAATGTGGATATTAATATTATTTTTGTGAAACACGATACTGATATGTTTTATTAAATTTTGAACAGAATGAGAATATATACCATGTTTCCCCAAAAATAAGACAGGGTCTTATTTCTCAGTATTTTCTTTTGACCCCCCCCCCCCGAAATAAGCACTTGACCTTATTTTCTGGGAGGTCTTGTTATTTTTGAGATGCAGGAGGCGGTCAACATGGTCACCTCATGGCTGTTGTTGTTTTGCAATATTTTCAGGGAGGGCTTATTTTCAGGGAGGGCTTATTTTTAGTGCATGCGTTCAAAAACCCAATTGGGCTTATTATCTGGGGAGGGTTTATTTTCAGGGAAACAGCGTACTTAAACATTTTTTCTGTAATTTTAACCTGAATAGTGAAGATTG